TAAAGTTACCCTGACACAATCCATCCCCCTCCGCTCACTTCCCCTGCAGGTGGTACCACTCCAGGAGATGCCACCTAACTTCAGAGAACACGATCCAGAGAGCCGCTCCTACCTCCTCTACCTACCAGCATTCTCAGATGTAGCTGCTGCCTTAGCAAGAATTAGTGCCCATGACCTATCGGACCAGAAGTGTGAAAGTCTGCTCTGGAGCCAAAGCTTTACTTTACGCTGCACTTTAATGCTCAAAGCCGATGACAAGTGCTGCGATTTACTCCTCAAATTCCTCCAGCACTGTTTCCATCAGTAACTAATTGTTCCCCCAAGCAGTGCTGCACTCCCGGGGAAACTGGAAGGTTCTGTGCCTGACAGGCTGGGAGCAACCCAGTGCGTATATTAACAAACAGACAATGTGGTCCTTCTCAACTATCAAGATAGCCATGAACAGCATATTTAAAAGGTTCAATGGCAGAAATTATGAGCAAACTAGTTTTAAAATTCACACATTCTTTGCTTCCTCTTTGAAAAATAGCAGCAATGAAGTTGGTTTTAACAAAATCAATTTGGATGCTGTTAGATATCTTTAGAACCTTCTAGTGTGGTCGGAGCACCAGCAGCTGCTGCATCACCTTAAAACTTGTTAAGAATGCAGAATCCTACCCACCTCCCTCCACCTAGGAACCAGAATCCGTTTTCTAAGATCTCCAGGTAATGGACACGCCCATTAATGTTCATGGAGCAGTGGTCTAGAAGAGAAAGTTTTATGCGAGAACAATCATTTCTACATTTGTCTTTCCTTAATTCATATTCAGATGATACTAAGTAATTGTATATTTTATAAGATTCTTGGATTTCAGTTACATTTGAAAATGCATTTGATCTGAGTCACCTAGCAGTAGTAGCAATAGCTGCTAGTATGCTTATCATGTGTCAAGCACTGTTTTAAGTGGTCAATATGAACTTATTTAATTCTTGCAACAACGCTGTGAGGCTGGTGATATTATTTTCACAGGAGGAATTGAGGCACAGAGAGACAAAGTAACAAGGTTGTGTAGACAAGAAGTTGCCAAACCAGGATTCAAACCCAGGCAACCGGGTTCCAGAGCCCATGTGCTCACTCCTATGCTCCTCTCAGTCACTCAGTCCAGCAGAAAGGTGCTCAATGGGAGATGGTTCGGTGTAGATATGACAAGAACATGAGGTGCTAATCAGAGGAATGCCAGCTACCCATGGGACCCCTAGAAAAATTGCTTAACTTTGCTGTAGACTTCTCTCTGGATTGAGAATAGACAATCCCTCAGTTTAGTCCTAGGCCCATAATTTTAAGAGTATAAAAAAAATACTCTTCCTGGGCTGCCTAACTAATTCCTATACTCCAACTGAAACACTTAGAATAGCGGTTTTCAATATGTGTTCCTTGGAACCCTGGGGTCCTTCACAGGTATCTTGAGAGCCTAAGTAGTTGTTCTCCCAGCCAGTCCTCCTAGCATCTTTGATGTTAATGAATTTATATACTGGAGGTTAAAATAATTCAGTTGACAAAAGACTACCATTGCTTAAAAAACAAAAGACCAAAAAACCCTGATTTTGAGGATTGGGTGACTATATACTAGAGATTCTTTTTGGAGAATTTATCATAAGTACTATGCGTATATAAACTAGAAAGAGTGTAGCAATGATGGTAAACTTTTTAAAATTTGGCATGTGGTACCATTTTTTTCCTGATACCTCATACTCTCCTAAAAATATTATATAGTGTATATTTGTTCACATGTATTTGTTCACATTTACATTTAAAAATTTGTTTTGTAAAATCTCAGTTAAAAATAATTGATGCAATATTCTAAAATTCATTTCTAACAGCAAAATACTTGAATATTCTTTTAAAAACCTAGTCAATTAAATTTGATTTTCAAAGGCACTGGGTTGTCAGATTTATATGCAGTAAATACTTAATATCACAGGATCACAACAGGGACAAAATAAAATGCAAACACATGCAGAAGCTTTCATAAAGGAGTGTCCATAACAACAAGCATACCACGACCCAAACGTCAGGGTTATAAAAAGAAAAAATGTGTACGAAGCTCCTACAAATCAATAAGATAAAGACGCCAAGTCCAAAAAAGAAATAGGCAAAGGATAAGGTAAACAATTCATTGACAAAGAAATACAAATCACCTATAAACATGGAAAAGATGCCCAAATTCCCTAGAAAAAAGGGAGATACATATAAGATACCCTTCTCACCCATCTGATAAGAACAACTTTAAAGACTGAGAATAGCCAGCGGTAGAAGGGGGTATGAGAAAAGGGTATGAGGTTGACATTTCAAACACTGGCAATGTGAGCATAAATTTGCGCAATATTTTTGAGAGTAATATAGTAAATTTAAAGTGCACATATTGGGCCGGCCCCGTGGCTTAGCGGTTAAGTGTGCACGCTCCGCTGCTGGCGGCCCGGGTTCGGATCCCGGGCGTGCACCGACGCACTGCTTCTCCGGCCATGCTGAGGCCGCGTCCCACATACAGCAACTAGAAGGATGTGCAGCTATGACATACAACTATCTACTGGGGCTTTGGGAGGAAAAATAAATAAATAAAATTATAAAAAAAAAAATAAAATAAAAAAAATAAAGTGCACATACATCCCGACCTAGTATTTTCATTTGTAGGAATTTTTTTACTGAGGTACTTCCACAGGTATATATAAGAAACACACAGGAAGGTTTATTGCAGCATTGTTTACAAGATTGAGTCAGGGTGGGGCAGGTGGGGGTAGGAGGATGGACAATCCAATTGTCCAGTGCTGGCGGTGACTGACTACAACATGGTACATCCATAAAACAGAGTCTGTATAGCCATTTAAAAAGCTACCATCTTTCATCAATTCTAAGATACCATAGATTGTAAAATGCATCCTGGTATAACAGACATTAAAATGTGAAAAAACGGCTGTGGCCATTGTTAGACGCCATCAATTATAAGATATCCCCAATTTCAGAAATGCTGGAGAGTAAAACAAAACACAAACTGTGCCTTAGATCAATGATATGGACTTCCGTTTTAAATATTCTCTTAAATATAAATAACACAATACCTAATATAAATATAAATATATAACAATAAATTAATGAGTATGAAAGAGGTTTGGATGATTAAAAACCAGCTGTTAAGAGTGAACATCTCTAAGGAGCAGAGTTCAACTGCAACGGGGTAGGTGGAGGGGGACATAACATCTTTGATTCTTTAGAAGTAGTATATATTACTTCTGAAAAAAATTAAATAAAATACACTGCCTAAGTAAAAATGATCTGAGGTATTAGAGCATTGTGAGAAGATGACTCAAGTCCCATGGTTTTCACTCTCCTCCCCTTGTGGCATCTGCATCCAGGGGCAGAGGCAACAGTAATGCCAACAATTATACCACTTCCTGTGTTCCTGCTCTACATCCGCTCAGTCCTCACAACAACCCAACAAGATAAATGTAGATGCCTCTGTTTTACAAATGAGCTGCACTGGGTGAGGTTATTTTGCTGAGTCCTGCAGCTGTTGTGGGCAGTTCTGGATCCAGACCCAGCCTGTCTGGCCCCAGAACCCACCCGCTTTCCAATGTTGGGCTACTATCATTGCCGTCTATTTCTTTACGTATTTGCTCTTTATTCTTTGCTATTCTTTTTCCTTTTACAGCATCTCAAATTATTTTCTTTTTTATGCTACATGGGTTGTAAGTTATTTCCAAGCTGAAAAGCTAATTTATTAAATAGATTGAAAGTTGCATTCTAATTAAATTCACGAAAAATTAATGCATTTCCCCTTTTCAAGCAACTCTTCCCCTCTTGACCATTCTGAGAATTTGTTCGTTATAAACTCCTTCACTTGATAACCACATAGTATTTTTCTAGCTTTAATAAATCTATTTTATAGTCAAAGACAAAATGATATACCAAATACTTTCGAGTGCTTTTTTTTTTTTTGTGAGGAGGATCAGCCCTGAGCTAACATCCGATGCCAATCCTCCCCTTTTTTCTTGAGGAAGAGTGGCCTTGGGCTAACATCCGTGCCCATTTTCCTCTACTTTATATGGGACGCCGCCACAGCATGGCTTGACAAGCGGTGCGTTGGTGCGTGCCCGGGATCCGAACCTGCGAACCCCGGGCCACCACAGCGGAGCACGTGCACTTAACTGCTTGTGCCACTGGGCCGGCCCCTCAAGTGCTTTCTTTTAATGAGCAGTAAGTAGCTGCAGTGGTAAGAAGAGAAATAAGCAGTCAGTGTGCAACCCAACAGTCACCAACAGCCCAGCCCGGGAGCCGGAGTCAGCACCTGCAGTCCCCCTCCAACAGGAAGGGAGGGGACAAAACTGAGAGCTTAGCCTGTTGCATTTTTTGCCAGTTGACCAAAGGTTTAAGCCCAGATGTAAAACTTGAAAAGAAAAGAGATTTGTTCCAATAAATTTTGAACAAATGAAAATTTTGAACAAATGAAAATTACATTTTCACTTTCTTACTTTCTACTCTCTTCCTTTATTGTTCTGACCCCTTGTTGATCCCTCTCACAAAGAGGTTGACGTAAAAACTTGGACTTGGAGCTATGAAGATTATCTATAGTCTCCAACACTTTTTGCTCTAAGTAGAAATTGTTAGAAATGAGATGGATTGTAGGAAAAACAGTAGTATTAGGAAATATAAATTCTTAAGATCTATGTCACCAATTGCTAAATTGCATTATGCTTCTTTGGGTCATTTATCATTCTTTGGGGAAATGGGATGAAGGTTTCAAAAATTAACGACAGGGTCTGGATTGGAAGTAAACCAGGAACCAGATGTTAATGCAACCCAGCTCTTCCCCTCCCTACACACACACACACCCCATCTGATCAAAGTAAGGTATCAGGAGTGACGGTGAAGATATATAAGTGAAAGAGAATTGCCAGGCTCCAAGGGAGGTGAGATGAACTTATTCCCAAAGGCCTCCAGCAGAATGAACTGGATAAGGGCTCACCTGAATCTTTCATAGGGCAGAGAGCACACTGCATACCCCAGGCCTCTCCATACAAACAGCAGCACTCAGTGTAAGTCGTCTGCTTGCCAACAAGGGGCCGGCTACACACATACTCATCACTCAGATGTTCCCAGCACAGATCTTGGTAGACATCAGTTTCTTCAATTTGTTCTGAAAGGGAAGACATGGTTCCATGACAATTGGACTGTTACTCCTATTTCATCAACACTGCGGTGGAAGCCAGCGAGTCTCAAAGTTTCCATCTCCATTTCTAAGAGCGACTTCCAAGTAAAAGTCTGAAGCCAGCCTGGTCTTTCCATGGATCAAACCTCTGTCATCTCCAATTGGGTGTCATTCCATCAGCTGAAATTCAACCTGCCCATCATGTTCTGATTAAATCCTTCCCTCTACAGCTTCCCATCGTTACATAAAACACCCCACTATCTTGCTTCTATATTTCATAACCCTGATGAACTTCTGCTTCTCCCAATTTTTGCTTTTTTACATTTCCTCCTTTGTCAAATCCTACCATTTCTTTCCACATAACATTTTTTGGATTCATGCTTTCTCACCCAATTCATCTGCCAAGGCCTCAGACTAGTGACACTTCATCCTAGCATCCTCAATTCTAACCTTTCCACCTTTCAATTGACTTCATCCAAAGTAGTCTCCTGAATGTAATGATGCATCGATCAATTATGCCAATTATCAGTGGCACATCACCTCATCGGGGGTGAAGAGGGATTCCTATCAATGGACTTGAGGGGTCTCCACTACCTTGTTGAATTCCACTGTCTTGTTGAATGCCCAGGCTCATCTGTGTCTTCCAGTCCAGGCAAGCAAACCTAATTATCTTTCCCTGAACTTACAACTTCCTCAGCTGCCAGTGAAGGACTCTCAGGCATGGAACAGCTCTGCCATCTGCTCAGCCATTCCATATTCTGTCGTCCATTAAATGAGTCTATTTGGGGTATTAAATCTCCTACATGCGGATGCTATGCATCTTATTATTTCTCTTAGCATCTCATTTTAATTTCAAAATACCCAAGGAATCAATTTTTCTATTTTCCAAGAGCTCACATTTCAATCAAAAGGAAAACCTTATGACATTTATTTGGACACAGACTTGCACCTCACATCCAAACATACCATGTGATTCAGTTGGTCGTATACATTTCTTTTCTGAAGCATCCAGGACCATTGGATGAGTACAGAAGCAGTTATAAGACCCTTCTGTATTAACACACTGGCCATCAATACAACTGTTGGGGTCTTGACATTCATCCATATCTTGAGAGAAAAAAATTATTGAAGAAAATCAGCAATCAGTTGCACCTCACACACTTACCGAACTTTACACACTGCTAAATTTAGTTCACCTTCCAGGGGCTGCCACATTTTAATTAACTACATATCATCATCCAAAAGAGATCAGCTCTGACTATAAAAATGTTAAGTTATATTGATTGGAAAAATAATGTTGCCCTGCTGCTGCTGCTATTAAATAAAAAAAGAAAACATTTAGGAACAAGATATGCTTAGAAATGTAAGATAAAATGCCTCTTTATGATAGTTTTAAAATTATTTCCTTTTGCTGTGTTTCTCTGCCTAGAGTATATGGTTTTCTGCTTAAGCATTAAGGTCTGGGTCAGTATTTAAAAATGTCTTTCACTTGCATGGTATGAGTGATGGAACAGGAGGTTCCTCAGACCAAAAGAACACTTCAGCTAAACCAGTGACCTGAATTGTAATTCCACATTGAATATTAACTCTTTGTTTCAAATCTATTCAAATAGTAGTATGGAGGCTTTTTATTTTCATAAATCTTATTGCTCCAGAAAAAGATCCACAAAACATTTACACATCTTTTCAACACGTGATTTAGATTCAAAGAAATTTTTACTACACAGCATTACTTATTTTTTTCCATCTGTATATTTTCACAGTACACTATATCCTCTTAAAACTTACCAAAGCACTGCAATTTGACGGGATCATAGTACGTCCCTTGCTTACAGTAGCATTCATAACCGGGCTGAGTGTTCAAACAAAAGCCATTTTTGCAGATTTCTTGTCCAAAGAGTTGGCATTCATCTGCATCTATGGGGGGAAAAAGGAGAAATAGAAAAAGGAGTTAGCTTGGGTCTTTCAGTTAAAAAGAAGAGTCTAAGCAACATTGGGCATCAAGTTGATATAATATTTATATTCCCAAGACTCTTAAAGACACAGCAATATAAAATTCTTCAAGTTAGGCCTAACTCACAGATGTAGAAACATAATCAGGTTTGTCCGTGATATTTAAGGAACAATGCCAAAAACATTATTAGAGAAGGTATATTTGTAAATATGGTTTCAGGATGCTACCTCATATTTGATGAAATAGTCTATGGATTCCACAATGGCACCAACAATATTCTCTGAAGAATACAGCTTTTAAGAAATGTGCCTTTCTATAAATGTATGTTTTGGCCCATTTAACTAGTTGAGATGAAGACAACAGTCAAGAAGAGTTTGATGGAACTTGATGAAAGCCTTCTTTTGGGGCTGGCCCAGCGGCGTAGCCATTAAGTTCACGCGCTCCACTTTGGCAGCCTGGGGTTTGCTGGTTCAGATCCTGGGCACGGCCCTACACACCGCTCATCGAGCCATGCTGAGGCGGAGTCCCACATACAGCAACTAGAAGGATGTACAACTATGACATACAACTATCCACTGGGGCTTTGGGGAGAAAAAAGGAAAAAAGGAGGAAGATTGGCAACAGATGTTAGCTCAGGGCCAATGTTCTTCTTCTTCAAAAAAAGAAAGTCTTCTTTTTTGGTGATAATGATAAGCTACTGAAAGCAGAAGTTGACAATGGTGTTGGCAGACCCATTCCTCTGCAGAATTTAGGGTGCTTACCATCACCAAACCTCAGTTTACTCAACAGGAAATTGGGGATAATGGGCACATCTGCCTGATAGGACTGAAAGGATTAAAGGAGAAAATCCATGTAGAGGACTCAGTATACTCTCAAAAAGTGTTATCTATTGCTTGTACTGCTATTATTATTAGCATCACGTCTAGCATTTCAGAGCTAATGTCATCTAGTCCTCATGTAAAAAACTGGAGACTCCATAGATGAATCACTCAAAGATACACAGCTGGAAAATGGCACAGTCAAGTCCACAATACATGGCTGTTGGGATCTGCATCTAATCTTCTTGTAACCATTTACAGCACTGCTAAGACAGGATAAGGAGGAATTTATTTTTTATAAAAGAGGACGACCTTATTCCATAATATGAAGTGATATTTAACTATATCCCTGCAAAAACACAGTATAATATGATATTTGTGAACTTGAAAATCATTAAATACATAATGCAAACCAAAGTGTTCTTGTTATTTAATTGGACTAAATCACAGATGTATTTAAAAAACACATATGGAATTTCTTATCCAGCTACTGAATTATATCATATCATTAAAATACTAACTTTCAAAAGGGTATAGACAATAAAAATGTTTTTAGTCTGTTTTCCAGCCACTTAGCATTTTTCAATACTAAACTTTAAAGGAAAAAAAATGTTGTATATAAAAGGTCATAATATCTCTATCATGGAAATGTCAAAAGTTAGTGGTTAATGAGGAAATATTCATACACGTGGTTTAAATTTCACCAAAATAAAAAGGCTGCACATTTATTTTAGAACTATAGACTAATAGCATTAAATATATAAAACACATCTTCTTTTCCATTCCTTATTATGGATCTGTGGCCATTAGTAAAAGGTGCTAGCAATAGTAGGATGAGTTCTAAGAAAAGAAGAGTCTTAGCTTTGTTGATGACCATCAAGACCAACATGACGATGGTCAACATTATATGGTCCTAATATATGATTTCTAATATACCTCTGGGAAAAAAGAATACATTTCTCAAATACAGAATTTTGTGTTAAGTACTTTTACATGTTATCTCATTTAATCCTCATGATAACCTTTGAGACATTATTCCTATCTCAGAGATAAAGAGATGGAAACTCAGAAGGTCAAGTGACATCCCAAGGTCACACAGCTTTAAGTGTTCTAACTGCCAAGACCTGGCTCTGCCTAGAGTCCACAGGGGCCTTCTTCCAATGGTAGAAGTAAAGGCTTTTTAATCAGTTCCCATGGCTCAAAAGAACTCTAACTCAAGCTATGCTTTTACGTGAATGCCTGATATGTACACATGCTGCAAATTCATTTCTGCTTGACTCTGACCTTTATAGTTCTCGCCATCAGTGTCATAAGAGGATTCTCCAGCAGGCACAAAACCTTTCCCTCTAGGGCACATTTCAGTGAATTCAGCTGATTTCAGGAGAGACAAAAAAGGAAAACAAGAAATAAGTTGTAAAAAGAATAAAATATATCTTCCATGAATGTGTTTTAAATTCAGTTTTGCTTTCTCAGACTCAGTAACTTTAAAGCAAATCTTGCCATCTAATTCAGGCAAATGAACTCAGTACAATTTCCAAAATTATGGATTAGGTGCAAATAAATCTAATGACTTCATAAGTTTACTGATAATTTTTTAAAAACCCTCCTAGTTCATGCATATTTTATTTACCCATGTTTTAATTGATGTTATGACTTATTTCTCCATTACTATGGTCTCTAGCATTTTAAAGGTTTAATAAGACACCTTCAAGCAAAGTTTTAGCCTAAATATTCAAGCTCTAGTTATGGATAATGCTGTGTCATTTTTAGCAAAAAAGATTGGCTTTAACTTAAAAATGGAATAAAACAGAATTATCTTTCTGCCAAAATATCATACGGAACCTGACTATAATAACATATTCTGTGATGGACAGAAGTTAAATTTAAGAATTCATATTGAGGTGCCATGACGGTGATCCTTCCAGCCCTGAATGAAACTCATTATAAAGTAATCTCACCTCAATTGGACTACAGCAGGTACCAGCGAATGTTATCACTTCAAAATGAGAACCTGCCAAGGCCCATAGATACCACATGACCAGATGCAAGTTTGAATACACCACTTAGCTGATTCTTACCAGTTCCCAAGACCGGGCAGGGGAAGATCTCGCAGTTATCTCCCCACCCAGCACCAGAGGTACAGCAGCATTCTTGTTTGGTGACATTGGGGGCCAGCACATTATCACAGAGACTGGCGTCGTTTAGATTATAGTAGCATTCTTTCTTTTCTTCTCTGGGTTGATCTACATCTAAGTCTACACAGAGTGGAGAAAGTAAAAAGAGTGTTGACAGGACGCATCAGATCTGTCTGTATCACAAGAGTAGAAAACACAATGGTGAAACAGACAAATGGCGAAACAGAATGACTGGAGGTGCCAATAGCATCTCATTTATGGAAAGCTGCTTTCCACTTTCGGTGCTGGATTCTTCCACTTCAAGATAAAAATGCACTTAAATTCTGAATTTTGATGGATTTCTAACACACCCGAACAGTGTAAATCTGTCAAAATCATTTCCTTTTACGTTAACCAATTATTTTATTCTTGTAAATTTGACTGTGAGTTTCCATATCTGCTTTCTTGCCAGACATAGGACCATTCTTTACCAAGCTATAACACCTACTTAAATCGATGAAAATTTTCCCCAACACTTGACCAGAGATGTGGGGCACACGTAATATTTACCCCTTAGGTGATTGTTTGAATCAACCATGCCCCCAATCTTTTCTCAGCAGTACAAAGCAGAAGATAACCAGAAAAACACTGCAGTCACCTGGAGTCTATAAAATAACCTTTCATTACTGAAAATCTAACTACTTAAATTGCTGCAAAGAGATGACTGAATGAAATAATGAGTGCCAGCTAAGCCTCAGGGTAGAATTTCAAGGCTGGGCTCTAGTCCCAACCCACGTGCGCCCTAGAGGAATATATATTCTAACAGACTCAGTTGAACCCTCTGTGATAAAAGACAAACAAGGTGATGATAGAAGACAAATGATGAGAACAAACTCCACCTATTTTCAGATAATACTAAAAATGAGTTAATCCCATCAGATTTGAAGTCCATGAACAAGTCTGTGCTTTTAAAAAAATGATCAATATTTTGTAACTAGACTTGGAAAGTAGTCTAATCTATTCCACTATATGCTATAGAGCTCAGATTACTGCCTATAATCCAGTTAGAATTTACTAATAGTTTTTATTTTATGCTATGTCAAATAGCATAAAGCTGACTGCATAAATGCATAAAGCATAGCTGACTACTGCCATCACAATTACTTAGATTAATTCTAATGGAATATTTTCATCAGAATTCTGCTGTTTCCAGATTCTTAAGACCTAGAGAAACTATAGGGACAAAGGGAAAACATTTGCCAGGGAGGATAAGACTTTAATGTCAACACCTAACTTTTTTTTGAAGTTGGTAGATAATTATATGAGGAAAATTTAGTGAGTTATTTTCACAATAGTTTATTACTATATATTTATTTTGGCAGATTCAGATTGACTGTGGAAATCTTGATTAATACATCAAATAGCAAAGTTGTTCTTAAAACGTAAGTTCATAAAATTTTATCAGAAAGGGCACTGCTCTTGTTTTCCTCTTGTGGCATTAAAAACAAGCACAGCGGCAAACATACCTTGGACGTATACCTCACTCTCAGAACACAGAATAATCAATGAGAACGTAAAAGATCCCTCTCACACCTGATTCTGGCTAATTCCCAGATTATTCTGGCTATTTCTCGTACTATTCTGTCTTTGACAGAATCCAGCTTGGACTCTAAGTTAGTGTTAATAGCTGATGACAAATTCAAACCTAGAATAAGCGTCCAGGAAAAAACTGAAATGCTGATTCCTATGCAGTTTATAAAGCAGTTTTAAATCATTTCCTTGTGTGTGAAATTGGATAAAACCTGCCACATCCCTCATCTCATCTAGCTTTTCCAGTGTGCAGAGGACAGAAATATGCTTTGCCCACTCTGATGCAATGGACCACCACCAGCTCAGTCTCTTCAGGAGGGGCTCTAAGCTCTTATACATGGAATAATTTGGAAAAACTAAATGATTTTATCTTAAATTATTATTAAATCAACCATGAACCCTGTAGAAAAGCTTATAAACTCTCCCAACCCTTGTGAATAAATTGAAAGCCTATGACTATTAACAATTCTGCTCATTTATTTTATTCAGTTGGCCTAAAAATGCAGCTGGCGTTTAGAAATATAAATCAAGTCAGCAATACAACTAGACCTTTACCAATCAAGTTTACAGTTTGTGCTCAAAGAAGGCTCAATAATTGTTTTTTTCTTGTGTACAAAGTTGTAGGTATGTCATGGTATTTATTACAAAATGGAAGACTATGCAGTAGGATATGAATGAAGACTGCTACATTCATAGGTAATCAGAAACCAAAGGCTTCTGTCTCAGTGAAACCTTTATACGCATATATATATAAAAACACTGTCTGTTTTCTACAATGTTTGTTACACTCACAGCACAGAAACTAAGAGAGAAAATCATCGTTGCTTTTTTCCTTTTTCTTTGGAAGGAAACTCACAGGTTATTGCATAAGGGAAACAATCAATAACATCATTGTATTATGCAGGTTTTATATTGGTTGTTAGAAGTTTTGCTCTTATTTTCTTTCCAAGCAGTTTCAAAGTTCAATGTTTACACAGCTGAAATTGAGGGTTAGGCAGGCCCTAATCCGTGTTTGGAAAGAGATGCAAATTCTTTTTAAAGAGCTGGTCCACAAAGGTCATTCTGTGAAAAACTATAATTTCCCTATCTTCCTAACCTTTAAAAACTTCCTAGAGCATTTTTCCACTGGAGGAACACTCTGACCGGTGAAAACATGTAATGTGATTTCTTTAAAGAATCTCTGTATACGTTTAGGTCACTGCCTAGGGGAGAAATGTTTCTGTCACAAAATAATTTTAAAAGATCAAATCAATGGTTATAGAAAGTGCCAAGCATTAAAGAGAATGAATTTCATTTTTCTTAAACATTTTATGAATAAGATTAGCCATAATGTATATCTCATGCCAGGGACTTCTAAGAAATATATTACTTCTCCTCCAATATTTTCAGATTTGATTTTTCAATTTGTATTTAGAGGTTGCCTTAACATCTGTGTATAAACAGAAATCTGTGTATTTTAATCCTAGGGTATGGCTGGCAATAGGAAGTGAGTTTTGGGACCTTTGACATGTGTGCTTTTTTTGAAGGAACTTTCACAGAGGCCTTTTGATGTGGTCCACAGAGTAACTCCACGTGATAGACAGTGCAGGTTATAAAGCATCCTCACTTTCCAGCAGAGAATACTTAGGTGGGTCCAATGTCCCATCCCTAGTGCTTTCCCCAAACCTCTTCTACGGGGCTCAGCTTCTGAGCATCTCAACTAGCAAGACTTTGTTTTGCTTTGCCTTTTTTCTTTTTATTTCTTTTTTCTCTTTGAGACAAACAGGGAAGGCGCAGCAGATAATCCCTGGCGGTGTAGAGTTCAGCTATAAGGCCATGTATGGCGTGATCGTGTTCCCTTGCCCTGTACAGGAAGGGGCGGGTTTGAGCTATAGGTGCCACTTGTGAAGAGCCCCTTCTAGAAGCTCCTCCTCTCTTGGTTCGTCAGAAAGAAGAGGGTGTGGATATTCACTTATAGGGTTATTTCCTTCTTTAGTCTTTCCTCGAATATGTCTAATCTTAGGCTTGCTGTAGGGGTAAGGAAATCTGGAACTTTTTGTTAGTTAAAGTGGACACAAAAATTCTAAATGGGCCTTTGTCTTTGCTTTCACTTTGTATTTGCAATGTGTTCTGAAGGTCTTTATGAGCTAATCCTCTCCGTACCCTCCTGGGACATGCAGGATGATGACCAAGACCAAAGAGAAACGTCACACATTCGCGTGAGTAAACAATGCCCCCAAATGAAACACCTGCCATAGTCCTGAAAAATTTTATCAATTTATAAAACTCTGTGACTGTGATAATGTTCAGCAAATTACTTTCAACGGAATTACTGAGGCAGCTTTATTCTTTTTTATTTTTAAAATCTCCACAGGCACTAATGTTTTAAACCAACTCATGCTTTTACGAGAAAGAGAATTCTAGTGTAATATTCCAAGGAATAAAAGAGAACTTGGAAATTGATATATTTCTTTTTTTCTAGCTTTCTCATTCAAAGACCTGGAAAATGAGAAGTGTATGTGTATGTTTTAAGTGGAATTTAGGAGAAAGCCATTGGTGAGTTTCAGAAAACAAGTATCAACAATAGGAATGGACTGGATATGAAGGGATGCAAATAAAAAGGAAAACTGTAGGGCCGGCCCGGTGGCGCAGTGGTTAAGTGTGCACGCTCCGCTGTGGCGGCCCAGGGTTCACAGGTTCAGATCCCGGGTGTGCACTGATGCACCGCTTGTCAAGCCATGCTGTTGCGGCATCCCATATAAAGTGGAGGAAGATGGGCAGAGATGTTAGCCCAGGGCCAGTCTTCCTCGGCAAAAGGAGGAGAATTCGCATCGGATATTAGCTCAGGGCTGATCTTCCTCACAAAAAAAAAAAAGGAAAATTGTAGAAAGGTGGTACCTTCAGATGGTACAAGATGTGAAAGAACTCAAAATGAAGGTTAGAAAACAAAGTACAAGACAAAAATTATTTGGAAAGATTCCTCCACACAGTTCCTGTCCTTAAAGAGGTCAATCAGGTGAGGAGTCAGGACAAGACAGTGCTGGGAGAGCACCTAAGCCACACTGCAAAAGGACGGGTGGGGGTGGGGACAAGGCTATCTTGGAAGGCTGCCTGGAAGAGTTGACACTTGAGACAAGTTCTTGAAAAATAAATTAAAAAAAAATTGGCCAGGAAATAAGGTGTGACAGTGGTGAGGAGGAATAAAAAGTACAACTGTATTTAGGTCTGTGTGTGTAGAGCGGAGAGAGGGAGAAGTGGTCTGCACGAGTCATAGAACTGACTCTGAGAGCCTGAGGAAGGGGCAGGGATGCACTAACATGCAAACAAGTGATAGCTGTGTTTCTTACTGAGATGCTGGGGTAGAGGACAAGCCAGTCTCTGTTGGAAGAGAGTCGCCTCAGGGCCTCACACTTAAAAGGCAGACACTAAATACTTGCCAGGTTGAATGAAGGTTTTTCTGGTTTTGTTTTTTCTGGGGAAGGAGTTAGAAGAGAATGGGAGAAGTGAGCCTGGGTTAGGAATCGGCTGGGGAGAAGGTGAGGAGAAGAGCAAGTCTGGAGATAGTGATTTAC